GGTATTTGATATATACGACATATACATCACAGTATTTTGTAAAATTTTAATAAAATTCGTCTCTAGTGCCGGAAGTATGTTTCTTATAGTTTGTTGGCTCAATATGACATGTGATGATGTCATAATTTATCCTTGACGCTCACCAAATATACGTACCAAATAACGAGCTTTATTTCATTGGCACAATGTGAAAATAGTCAATCACAAATTTGTACATTTTAAAACGTTTTGGAGACACCAAATGTTACTACGTCTCTTAACTATTTTGTTGATATTACTTATTGGCCACTAGAAAAGACACATGTAACAAATGAAAAAGTCTAACAATTCCAACGCCAGTTCCTTTCGCTAAGAAATGCACAGGTCTTACATACAACATGATTCCACAAATTCAAGTTTTACACTCCCACTATAAGTACTTATAGTTCTGATAATAAAATAAAAAGCACTAAATAATTCAGCTCTAAGACAGTCGCAGTCGGTAGCACAAGCTTAGGCATACCGTAAAAACACACAATAGAGTTGAGTAGAACCAGGCAAAGTGTTTCATATATGCACATTAAAGAAAGGAGCGATCATTGCTGACACAGTTCATTGGTCTCCACCACCACCACCACCGCGTGGGCTTCTCTCCCACCAATGCATTTCGTTTCGCTTACCGCACCGTCGTCCAGAGGGTCCAGAGGTCAGCATCGACGACGTCCCCCCCGAGGTGTACCAGCTTAGAGGGAGGCATCGGGTGGTCCCTACAGCCGCCTTTAAGCGCGCCTACAGCTCATACACCTCCCTGCCGTTGCCCCTGCCGCCGGGCGGCCGCGGGGGGCGCTTGGCCGTGGGCTTGGCCGCGGAGGCCGCGTTGCGCTCGGCGCGCTGCGGGGAGGTGTACGAGTACATGTTGTAGCCCGGAATGATGTGCACGCGCACGTCCCCGGTGGGCCGCGAGGCCTCGGGGCGTGGTCGCCGGGACAGCGCCACCGTCGTCTTGCAGCAGCAGTAGTGGAACAGGTTGACGTACGCGTTCCGGAAGTGGCGGTTGGTCACACAGTACAGGTAGTTGTTGAGGCACGACTTGCTGAGCGCGAACCAGGCCAAGTGGTAGAGTACTCGCGGGGACACCGTGTTGATGGACTGCACCTCCAGCACCATGCCGAACGGCATCCAGAATATCTGCAACACAGTCAGATGAGCGTGAGGACCGAACCACGGTGACCAAACGCGGGTCGCGACGGGCGACACTGACCACGAAGCAGAAGAAGGAGAGGAAGTTGGTCTTCATGAGTGAGAAGTCCCACGAGAAGGTGATGGGCGGCTTGTAGCTGGGTGGCAGCTTGGCCGAGTGAACCCGCACCAGGATCACGATGAAGCACAGCAGCGTGACCAACAGCGGCACGGCCACCAGCACCACCATCACCGCCATCTGGTACGGCACCAGCCCCGGGAACCTGCGGCAAGGTAGCGCGGAGTCAGAGCGCCTGTCACCGCCAGGGTAGGCAACGCGTGCGCGCCGCTGCGCGGTGGTTGCCTGCCCGCGCGGCGCTCGCCGACCCTCAGCCGCAGCCAGTCAGTTCTACTCACTTGCGGTGGCAGTAGTCCGGCCCCAGCGGCAGCGCCGTCTGCACCCCGACCACGCTGCCGCTCACGATCCAGATGAGGAAGACCAGGCTCGTGATCTTGCACGGGGTGACGTGCTCGTACCACGAGGGCGGCAGGCACAGGCGCATCAGGTTCTCCACGGCGATGGCCGAGTAGGTCAGCAGCGTCACCTGAATCGGGGCAGAGCGAGGCGTGGGGGCCTTGTCGTTAGGTCGAGCAGTCGGAGGTCACCAGCGCAATAGAGTCCGACATTTAAAAAAATGTTCAGAATGAAAGGAGAGTTTCAAAGAAGTTTTTGAAAAAAAAAAATCCCCAAAATACGTGGAATACGTTAGAAAATTAACATCTTTAACCCAGTTGTTACTGACCAGGACGCTGAGGACGGCGACGATCCAATGAAAACTGCAGGCCGTCTGAGTGTCGCGCAGTCCAGCCAGGATGACGACGGCTGAGGCCGGGAATACGAGCCCGGTGACCAGCAGGTCGGCAAGCGCCACGTTCACGAGGAACGCGTTGCCTGGAAACATTTAATAGGATAGAGTGCGGCTGAGCGGCCGTGGGGCGGAGCGGGGAGACGGTGGGGCGGAACGGGGCGGGGCAGGACGTGGTGGGGCGGGGTGGAGCGCGCTGACCCATGGCCCATGGATGGCGCCACTCCGCCCCGCACCGTACGCCCCGCCGCGCTGACCTCGCGCGTCGTCTCCTGGGGAAAGGAAGGGCAGGACAAACTACTGCGACCTTCGCAAGCTCACTATACTCACCGCGCTGCTTGAGGAAGTCTTCGATGAGGATGGAGCTGATGAAGAACACGTTGCCGACGGAGCCGATGACCGCCATGGCGGCGAGCAGCAACAGGCGGCCCACCTTGTTCCAGTGGGCGTCCAGGGTGACGGGGGACACGTCCTCCTCCCCGTACGCGACGCCGTACGCGACACCCGTCATGATGGGTGGCGCCAGCGTCACCAGCGACATGTTGGTGAGCGTCATCCTCCTGGACGGAGTCCTGGACGGAGTCCTGGACGGAGTCCTGCAAAGGAGAGGCAGAGCGGGCGCGTGTTAAGCTCAGGACCACGGGACCTTGGGTTGTATGTGGGGAGAATGGGCCATTCCAGTGCCGGCCGGCGCAACCCTGCCCCACCCCACCCCGCCCCGCTGCACCCCGCCGCACCCCGCCCCGCCCAAAGCCCAAGGCTACGATCCCTCTGGAACAAGGGGTCGCGTGCTCTGGCTCCAAGCGTGTGTTTGGCGTTCGGCCGCCTATTCACGGAACACGGAACACCGAGCGGCACTCTCTGCGCCCACCGGCGGCCGCAGCATCATCAGCTGCAGCAGCAGTCCCGCCAAGTAGTGCGCCTGCTTTGATGCCACACCAGCAAAGGCCCGCAAGACCCCCCAC